TTTAAGTGTCTTATGGAAATCTTTTCGTGGCTTGTGTTAAAATGAGAAAAGCAAGGTTTCGAATGTCTTAATTGCTTTGAACTAGATTTATGAATACTAAAATAGAAAATTTTAATCTAAATAATCAATTTAATAAAGAAGGGAGCAAAAATAGAATGTGTTCATCATTTCTAACCCAATAAAAAAACTGAAACAAAGGTCTTCTTGGAAGCCACTGTTGTTAATATCTCCTCATCATTCGCCTTAAACCTCGTAAATCTCGTCTGTTACATCTGAATTACCTTATCATGGCAGGCCAATAATGCCCTAAAACACCCTTTTAACCTAATTTAAAAACCACAAAAGCTGAAAGTTCAAAAATATTCTCATCTATGGATGATGAAATCTTCACTCAAAGCAAATCCCATAAAACCAACCTGTTTTTTTTTTAAGTTTATAGACTCTTCACAGAATCGTGTTGTTACAGTAGTCCAACGGTTTCAAAATCGAGTTCCTTGAAACCCCTTACTTATTTTTTTTGCTTCTAAAAGTAATATTCCCTGGATTATGAAGTCCTCATTGAACTCAAATTTCCAAAAATGTCTTAGTATAGGTAGTTGATAATAACATAATCTAATAGTTGTAGAAGTTGAAAAGTGGACGCCAAGACCTTACCGCACATTAACTTCTTCTTCTGCTCTAGATTTCTAGGTGCTGTAAAACTAAAACTTGGGCAGACCACAGTTAATTTTATCCAAATATTTACAGTCAATTTTGTGCCTAATTTTCCATTTACCTAGTTGAAAATACAAGATCTAGGTAATATATTTATGATACTTCCGGAAAAGATTCTTGCCGACAAAATCTACTTTGAAATATATAAATAGTGTCACCCCGCTGAACCGAGCTATATAACTATCAAAAATTGTCGACCACCATGATGGACCACCTTAAAGTACTTACATGTATCGACAGCCAGCACTTGAAATCGTAACATACAATTCAAAAAACAAGAAAACTTATCGAAAAAGTAGTGAGAGTTGATGAGGAAAAGAGCCAGAAGTGGCTGCACAAAAAAGAAAGCCTAATGGTCTAACTAATCATACATAGCAAAAAACACACCACGCAACTGAAAGTGTCAGACAAGCAAACGTCCACTTGAGATCGACACTTCAATATGTTGGCAATGCTTAATGACCCAGTAGGGAAACTACAATAGAGCTGTTAAGCGTTGAAAGAAGTCCTCAACTTAAGATTGGTTCGTTGTTTCCAATTAACTAGCTTTAATTTATAGATTCCTACAGGGATACGATAAAAACATTTCGTAGATTCGCCTATGATATTTGTAGATGATCCAAAGAGGCAAGTGCGTAAGAAGGAATAAGTGCTGTTACTTAGGTATTCACAAAACGTACTTAATGAAAGAAACCTTAAAAAAAATCAAGTAAATAATACAGCAACAGAAAGTTGTTGAGCAGACGAACCACCTTGAGGGTCGTATGTATTTGAAGGTGATTAAAAAACCATTTAGAAGGCTTGGAAAATTGTACAAGACACTACAAACATCTGCTGGGAAAGTTAACTTTGAAGATTTGGATTAGGCACCAGCAATTTATGTAGTCTACAAGTAAGACGACCGCCAAATTAAATAAGAGGACATTCTTGAAAAGTGACTTCTTACTTTGCGAAGTATGTTTCTTGTCAGCGCTCGAGCTATGATGAGTAGAGTCAAACCACTCTAGTGAGTTTAGTTACTTATAGCAGGCAACAGGTAATTTTAAATCTCTGGACACGAACTAAAACATATTGTAAATATTTGAATATCATCACCCTGGCGACACACATGAAATATTTAGCTAAACCTTCAGGGGTTCTGAATGAATGAAAGCGACATAAAATCCATAGAAAAAGAATTTTTCGTTAATGAAATAGATATGTATGTTGTTTTCAGAAAAAATCACTTGCTAAAAGCATGGAACTCGGAGCTTCTTCGAAAAATTTCTACCAAAGTGCCACCAGAAAGTCTTAGCTGACACTCATCAGAGCGAAATTGTAAGTGAGTTTTGAAAATGCATTAAGTGAGAAAATATTTGTGGTTACTTTTGTTTTAGTTCTTTTTGCGGTAATTTGAATTTTCTGCCGCGACGCGTCAGCTTCACCGTCACACGGCGCAAACGGCGAGCGAATGAGAAAAGACGCCTTGTCTGCAATGGCAGTTGTGATGCGCAATCTATCTGGTCATATTTGTTTGTTTTGTTTTGTTTTTACAAGGCATATTTTTTGCATTTTCTTTAAATACCAAGTTTTGTGTTGCTTAGCAGTTGTTGTTGATTTTTTTGTGCCGTCAACTTTGTTGTTGCACATTTTGTAATTACAAATGCAATGCAAATTTAATATCCTCATTTTATTTTAATTTTTTCTTGTACGTTTTTGCGAAAATTTTAATGAAAGTCATGACACGATCAGTTGGACGAGTTCACTTTAGCTGCCCGTAGCTCACGAAGCCTGGCAACGTATGGCGATCTAAAGATGGCAGCAGATTGCAACAGTCAACACATTAAATTTCACACATTCACATACACACACACATACATGCATTTGCTGGCCGTGGTGGTGGAGGCGCTTTAGAGCATTTGGGCGCCACAGCAGCTAGGCGAAAGCCCACAGCCAGACAAACGTACGTAGATGATTGGGCGGCGGCTGCCATGCGGTGACTCAAGTCCCACTTTAAAAATAGCATTCGTAATAAAAATGTATATTTGCGCATCACTTTTACGATATCTCATGAATTAACCGTTAGTGAACCGCTAGATGTAAAGCGTTGGTGAATGGATAATAATGTCGGGTTTCCGATATTTCAGTTTTTATTTTGCAGATCCGTTTGCTAAACCACCAGACATGACCCACATATTGAACGAGAACGTCAGATCGGCCAGTAATATCAACGCAGTTCGAACAAAGTTCGGAAAATTTAAGCATAATGAAACGCAGCTAACTTCATGCTGTGATCAAAAGTTACGGCTCCAGTTTAATAAACAAAACCATAACAAATCTAAATAAATTAGAATAGGGAAGACGGATACTATCTCAATCTATACCGACGGGTCCAAAATGGACAGCGGGGTAGGGTCGGAGATATACTCCGAGGATCTAGATATCTTTCTCTTTATCCGTCTACCGAACTCAGCTAGCATGTTCCAAGCGGAAGTATTAGGCATAGAGGAGGCCAGTGGAGTTCTACTGAATATCTATAGAAATATCTAAAGAAATGTAGGAAGGCTTTAAGCCCACTGGCAAGTCAACTTTACTTGTCCATAATTTGGGTTCCCGGTTACAGGAACATTTTCGAAAAAGCAGACGTGTTGGCTAGGTCAGGAGACTCTCCGACGCAGCGGTAATACTGTGCCCGCCAAGGACACGGTTCTATCATCTGGGAGTGTCCAGATCTATCACAAGCACGTCATAGACTTCATCTACAAAAACATAACGGAGATAAGCAGTTTCACTGAGGGTACCACATGGTTTGAACACAACTATGAAACGGGATTACTTTACAATAAAAAAATACGCAAATGAAGAATCTCGATGGTCATATGTACATATTTCAGAGACGTTATGAAACCCTTTAAAGAGCAATTTGCGCCACAAAAAGCAATATGAAAAGAAATATGAATAATTAACATAAAAGTTGAATACAAAAGATAGACGGGATAAATCCAGCTAAATTCAATATTAGTTCAAGATCTCAAACTTCACTTCACCTCTACAGGTCACGTTCTGAGATAAATAATAATGATCCAGAGTTTAACTGGAAAGGTATCTAGTTATGGTTATTGGTTCGGAATTTTTTAAAAATATTCACCGGTGAACTTTGGTGAATCGCGAAGAACTTTTGATAACCGATTTCTCAAAGGTCAGCTTGGACATTATGTACATAAATTAGCAGAAGTATTTATAATAAAGTTTCTTGCTATCAGAAATTGTGATTTTACCAAAACAGTAAAGAAAACTTATTTACAAAGAAAAATGGGAGTAAAATAAATGAATGAAAAACTTTTTTGTAAATTTTGATATTTTTTCAAAACTCGAATAACTTTTCATTTTCTAAATTTAGTTTTTTAAAGGTTTTTTTTTCTTTATTTATGCGGATAATTCAATATCTAGGAAGATTTCTCCTTTTTAACTCACAAATAAAAAACTTTTGAACAATAAATTGCATGAAAAAAAAATTTGAAAAAAAGTAAGACTAAATATGACGGCGTTATCGTCTGTTGACCATCGAAACGGTCCATAGCATGCGTCAGAACTTTTCCCTACAAAAATGCACAAACGCTTTGTTTTTGCATCAGAAAACATTAAGTGCGTAACGAAATTAAGCGTGCGGCTGGGCGACCACCGACAGATAGTAAAAGTGCAAATAAATGACCGTCTGGCGCACTGTCTGCGTTGCAGCCAAGCCACTTGTACAATACATACATATGTATGTGCAAACATTGCTGCACTCAGTGCTTTTTAATGCTTGCGGTGTCGCTGCTCCACCCAAAAATTATGCTAACTATTTCGTCTCTTGCTTAGCATTTCTTGAAATTTTTTTTAATTTTTCGCAGACAGTTTTTTTCACTATGTTAACTATAATGATTCGTTGTTTCTTTTATGAGCTCTTTTTTGTTTTGTCTCATAAGTGACTCGGCGTCTCTTGGGCCAAGTTCAAAATTTTATGCCCACAATTTCTAAAAACCCATATAAAAAAGAAAATTTAAGAAAAAAATTGAAAAAAAAAAATATTTGAAACTAAAATTTAAGCGAAACATTTTCAAATAAAGATTAAAAAAATTGCAAATCACAATCATCTACGCCGACGGTCGGCATTTGTCACTTGTACTCTCTCTCTCTCTCTTTCTCTCTCTTTAACTGTTTTAATCCTATGCTTTTATTTTTTTCTTTTGTACTTTCCCTGTTGCATGCTAAAGCTTTGCCAAATTGCAACTGTAAAAAGTTTGACAGCTTTATAAATGTTGTCTGTTCGCACGCGTGTTTTCAATATATTTTTCATTTTTGCCTGTGTGTAGGCTGAAAAATATTAGTTTTTCTAATTTTTTTGTCATTTTAGCGATTTTAAACATTAATTGAAGTATCACACATGAAAGGTATAAGCCAACTGGAAGTTTGAAAATCATTATATCAGCTGTATGGGGGTCAGGGGAAGTACTGAACCAATTTCAATTTTTTACACAAGGCACATTTTTATCGGTAAAAGATCTCTCTGCATTTTAATAATATATCTAACAGATTGAACTACATTTTCAGTAAAAACTCAGCTATAGGTACTGCAGACCACAATTCTAGGCACCCCGTCTAACGGTCAATATACAGATGATCAAAAATATTCATACCCGAGATGACACATCCGTTGCGACCTCTACTCACCGTTCTTTCTGCTAATGCTGCTAATATTTGATTTGAATTAAGTTGCACATATATTCGGACCGTCCATATCGGACTACTATACGAGTAGCATATAGCTGTCATTCAAACTGAACCCTCAAAATCGAGTCCTTGTATGGAAAACAATTTTATTTAATATTTGGCATGGATTATTATTGAAGGCTACAGAACAATCTCCGAAGAAATTGTACAGATCAGACTATTACGTATATCGTATAGCTGCCAAATCAAAATCAAGTTCTTGTAAGAAAACTTGAACCTGTAAAGGATTTATAGCTTTAATGCTGCCGTAGTAAACGTTTCTCCTCGTTTCTTTTTTCATTTCAATAAGATATCTAACAAAATTTCTAACAAATTGACTGATATTTTCGGTGCAAAGTCAGTCATAGGCTCTGCGGCTCTCTAATTCAATAGCACAGTGATATATGGAAGGTAGGTGTGGTTATAGTCCAACTTCATTCATTTTTTCAAACCACAAGAATGTCACGAGAATGTTATGTACCACCTTAGGTTTAAGTTTGTCGGGTATTTGCTTAGTTATCAAGAAATCTCAATTTTTACTTAAGTTATGAACAGACACTATTTCAAATTGCCTCCTCATCCTCATCTGGATATATATATAACTCTACATCTATCTCGATTAACTTTCGGTGTTCCAAAGAACCGTTTGCTAAACAAAACTAACATTTTTTTAGACGTGTGGTTTTCAATGCAACAATACTTTTTTCGAGGTAAGTCTTTTTGTCAGGTGTTACTTGATTTATAGACAGTTGGGTTTGCCATTTCATAATAAACAGACTTACTCCGAAACAATGTTTGCAAATCGTGCAATTTTCGTACCAAATGAGGACGCACCCAATATATAATATATTGAATATATTCGGTCGACACAAGCGCTCAGCAGAGTCGGTAATTTGAGCAACTATGGATGGATGGATGGATCGGATTGCACCACGTTTACTTTAATAGATAATGCGCATCTTCAAAAATGCTATACAGTGCACAGTATCTAAGAAGACCCGAATTAGTCTATCCGCCAACGCTTGCACCAATTGGTGCTGGCTGGTTCGGTGAATAGGCTCAAAACGAGATGGCCACCAATTTCGATTTTCACAAGACAATTCTGTTCAGGGATGAAGCTCACTTTTGGTTGAATGAGTATGTTAATAAACAAAATTTTCGCAATTGAAGTGATGATAATCCACAAGCCATCGTTGAGACCGCTGTTATATCCTCAAAAAATCTCTGTTTGATGTGTTCTATGAACAAAGGGAATCATTGGTCCATATTCCTTCAAAAATGAAGCCGTCCATAATGTTATAGTCGATCGGTAATGCTATAAGGCCATGATTAATGAATTTGGCCTCTCGGCTGGAATTTATTCAAGCCAGACGTGGCGGTAACTTGCCCGATATTATTTTTAAAACGTAATGGCAAACCGTTGTCTTTATACTACAGCCAAATTCTTGGCCATAACATAAATTGTATGTGTTTTCTTTCTTCTCGAAATCCACATGTCTAAAAATACTCCCCTTGTATATGATAATCTGTGCAAGAGTATAAAAAAATGTTAACATGTGCGGGTGCGTGCACTTTTTTAATAAACTTAAATTACACGAAAATTAATTTGTTCACTGTCACAAACAAATTGTCCACCAAAATATAATATATGCCGTTAGGCACAGAGATAATAAACACAAAAACAAAACAACAAGTTACTTATAAAAAAATTGCAACCAACCAATTTGGAATTCCCAGACACAGCAACAATGTGTAAAAAATGTTTGAAAAAACCACCAACAACTTTTATTGTACTTGTCATAAATTCGAGACAAAAAAATTAACAATTTCGAAGCATAATTTTTTGAACAACAAAATGTGGCAAGTGCAACAAGCAGCGACAAAACGCATGCACGTGAGGTGCGCCCTCTAGCGACATGTTTCGTTCGTTGTTGCTATTGTTGCTGCAGCCATTACCGCCACCTCCCACTGTTATATAAATCAACACCGTCGACGCAGATTGGCTGCTATTATTTATGGCTATCTCGGTAAAAATAACTAAATAATTTTTACTAATTTGTATGTGTGTATTTATGACATGAAAATAGGAAAATCGCTGCTCGACCGCTTGTCGTTGATAAAATATCTGATGCCTTCGACCACTCCACCAACACCAGCTGTGTGAAACGATAACATTTTCTAAGAACACAACAACTAATTTCTTTATTATTGTTGTATTGATTTTTGTCAATGACCAGAGGGGTGATTGGTTGTATACAGGAATTTAAAATGTATTGTTTTGTAAAGTAATGGCGCCAACTGCAGTTGCCTTCTAGCAAGTCTTAGCAAAGCTATGAACAGGTATATACAACATATATGTATATATGTATATATATATGAATATACTATAAGTATAACTGCATAGTCAAACTTACCGCGCAACTGGTGTTATTGGCGACAGCTGTTGAGTTCCATTGGACCAACTTGTCAAATGAGAAAATTGCTTCATTTTATTCAAGACATAAACCGTACGAGTTTATAAATAATAAATCGTTTATAAGCAAACAATTTTAATTGATTTTAAGCGCAGTGCAGCTGAGAGCATTATATTATATAATAAATATATAGTTATATATGTAGATCAATCCAATTTATCCTTGACTCAAGATTAAAAGGTGGAAGTGCTAACTCAAGATTTACCACGCCTATGGAGAGCAGTAAAATCTTAATACATATGCGGTATATGGGAGCTGGTGTAATTCGTAATTCCGAAAGGATGTGCTGCGTATGCGGTACTTTTACTGAGCTGCCGCTCTGATGGACTAAAAGCATAACACTGAGAAACCCTCGCATTATGGCAATGACAATTTCACGAAGGAATCGACACTACTCCATCCTTTCTTTATGTTACTAAAAACTTCCACGACGCATAGTTTTCAATAAGTGTAAAAAAAGTCGGGTTTAAAAAAATATTCAAATATTTTTTAGACTCCTCTCCCCAAAAGACTATCGTCGGTGTAAAAACTTCCACTACACCTGAAGACTTCTTACAAAAAAATTGAACACACCCATCAAGCAGGCGTCAGCGAAACCAGTCAGTAGCGTCTGTGAGTTGGTTGCCAGCATACCCCACGTGTTCCTGCCAATTGTTAAACCGCCCAGCGCGTGCAGCTTATAACTCGAGCCGCTATAGTCAGCTGTATAAAACACACAAATGGTCTAGAGTCTAGACTCGCCATTCTACCATAGTTGCCTATATGTGTATATGTATGTTCGTCAAACACGCACACATAAGCAGACAAATAAAATCTCATTAATTTGAGCAACAGGTGTGAGATGATTATGCCGATTACGCCAACAACAGCAACAAAGGCAAATTAAAAACAATAAAACATAGCCTGAGCAGGCAAAGCAACAGGTATATGTATATTTTTGTAGCAACTCATTGCAGTTTTAGTTGTTGTTGCTTTTGTTTTGGTTTAGCTTTGTTGGCAACAAAATTAATCGCCGACAATTGCGGATTAAATGTAATCGTCTGACTATATCGGATCGATGTTATAACTGTGATTAACTGAATGGGCTAGCGGTAGTTGTAGAGCTCATACACATATCCATATGTATGTGTGCATGAGTGCATACATGAAAGTGTGTACACAAATTAAGGTGTGTTTGCGTACTCGCACCTGGTTAACAGCAATATAACTGCTAATCATATCAACTATAAGCGCAAATACATATTTATACATATGTATGTATGCACATAACACTAAAGTCCATGTATACCTACATAATATATATCATACATATATCAACATATCAACATTTTTGCGTCATTTCGGTCAAGCGTTCGTACGCATGCGCAGCTTTTAATAAAAAAAAACTAAATAATTATACTATAATCAACTTTTAGTCACTTGATTGTTTGCCATTATTCCGTATTTGAATACTTGAAATTGCAAATTTGTATAAAAAGCCAATTTAAAGCGAATTTCAAACTCGTTTCGTCACGGTGTTTTTCATAAATCGCGAGTATAAAATTTTATAAATTTTTTTTCGATTTTTTTCTTCTAACTTGACTAATTGTCGTTTCCCCCCAGTGACATGTGCAATTAGTGTCACTTTCAATATTACATTTTTAAACTTTTTTTTAATTTTAGCATTTTAGTTATTTTTGCACATTTTGCTCAACTCAATACATCTAATTACAAGACAAGTTGGTCATTGAGCTTGATTTGATTATTCGATATTGCAATATATTTTGAAATATTTATGTACCATATAATAACAGTGGATACCTTAAAAATGTAAGCAATGAAATAATCGAAAATTGACTTTTTTATAAAATTTAATAAAACATAGCATAAATAAAAAAAAATTATTTTGATTTATAAACCATAAGCTCTGAAATAGTTAACAGTTTCATTTATAAAATCATTAACAAAAGCCGTGTTCGATTTATCAAACGTTAAAACTTACGAGAGTGGTGAATCGAAGATACAAGGTGACAAAGATTAGCATAACCATAGAGAAAGCAAGCAAACGTTAGTAATACCCTTCCACATACTCTCATGTATAGAGTTAATGCCCTTGTTGGCTTCAAATTTAACTTTCTTGAACAGAATGGTGAATCGCAAATCATTGAAATCAATTTCCAATGACTGCAACTGCAGTTTGCTCGACAAAAACAAAAAGAAATCTTCTCTGTGTAATAAACGAGCATAGTTTATTAATAACACTATTATACGTTTAACGTTTAATATCCTGTCCATATCAAAACTATTCAACAACCGAAAAAATAAGGTTTGAAGTCTGGTATATTATTTTTGATCACGTAGCAAAAAACAGATCACTCTAAAAGTTGCTGAGAAGATTTTGGCCCACTAAAATCATATTCAGTGGTAATAAATACTTGTTCATAAATGAATTGCCGCAACTGTATATCAACAATTGTTTTTAGATTCATATGTTTTTCTTATAAAATTTGTTAGCATTTATCGGCATTTAATTTGTAGAAAAGCGATAAGCCTCGCTTACTTTTAGTATGCTAAGTTTGGTGTTTTATTGTTCAATTATTCATAATCAATGTAATAAGCGACATAAATCTTAAGAAGCTTATGTTTTATGCTTGATTTAATTCGACTAATTGGCGTTTTTGTTTGCGTGCGAATATTTTTTTCTTTGGGAAAACTATTGGATTAAAACTATAAACTCGAACAAAAAGTAGTACTTTTTTTGATTCACATTTAATGTTGGAAAAAATTTTAACCGAAAATTTAAAGCACTTTGGTAGAAAACTATCTAAATAATATAACTAAAATGTCTATTCCAGTAATATTTTCCGTTGCTATGAG